AGATAGGTTTGAAGAGCAAATGTTTGACTCATAGTGTATCTGAATTTGTATAAAAATGAGCCATTATAACGGGGTTCTATTTTACTGTTCTGTGATGGAGAATAATTCTTCCCAGGTGGACTTAGTGAATGTATTAGCATCTCTTCTTTGTAGAATTTTGTTTTTCTTTCCCAAATGGAAAAGACATTTTCATAGACAAGTTTTTGCTAGTTAACTTGAAAGGAACCAGATACTGGGCCTCACTTGCCATTTGTAGGAAAACAGGTGGAAAGTAAGGTTTGGCCCACTTTAATTTGAGCCTTTCCTACCACTGAGGTATGCATTGAAAACAGAATTAGAACTTTCTTTAAAGTAACAGTATTAAACTGTTTAAACTGTTAAATTAAACTGTTAAATAAACAGTATTATTTCTTTAAAGTAACAGTTAAAGTAACATATATTTAACTTTTCTTAAATGGAAAACATAATACATTTTCACTGAGAATTTTTCTAATTCAATCAGCTGATTTTGGTTTGTTCTTTTACTGATTTTTGTCCTAGCAGGATCTTGGAGCATATGAACCTAGGGAAATTAATGAGGCATGCTATCTTTTGTATCTTTTAAAGTATTAACTTTTTTTAAGGAAATAATTTTGAATAGAAAGAAAAAATTGTAGCTGGAGAGACACTCCACAAATAGTTTAGAATTGTACAGTTTATTATTTTTGTTCATTATATTTGGAGTTCAGCTAAAAGAACAACTCATGAAAAAGCAGATTGTTTTAACTGATATTGTTGCTGCTATTTTATTTTTTCTTACTAGTGTTCTTTACCAGTTAGGTAGTCATTTTATTTAATAATTGATGTCTCTTCTTCCCAGGACTTCCCAGTATGAATCCAATATATCAACAGTAAGAGCCGGGAGAGATCTTAGAGTCTCTGTAGTTCAACTCCATATTAAAGACAGGGAAACTGAGAGATTAAGTGACTTGCTCTTGGTCACAGGAGTAGGTGATAGAGTGAGGACTTAAACCCATATTCTCTGTTTTTAAAGCTAGATGTAAAGTAATTATTATCATTATCATTTGTACCTTTTCCATGGAGTTTAGATAGAAATAGCCCTGGGACAAGTCACTAATCTACTCTCTTCAGACTGGGACAGGTGGGTTATATAAAATAAGAGTTGTCATGTAAATATAACTTTATGACAACTCTAGAAGCAGACAGGGTGAGAAGAAAGATATATACCTCACCCTCTTTCCACATGACCATTATTTTTTCTGCTTGATCTCTATACTTTGAAAGCTTGTATTCCACAGAACTTGGAGATTGAGTGTTTGGCATAATGGCATCTATTAAAGATGTTCTTAAATTTTTATAGATCATTGCTGTGTGTGAGTGATTATTGGCAATAATTCTGTCTCTGATAATGATCCGATTCTAGTACAGGTTATTTGTTGAATTCTCAAGAATATTTTGAGATTTTTATTTTGGAGGTCTGTCATCAGTTAATTTATAAAAGACACTGAGTTTCTGATGTATGATTCTAACCACCAAGTAAGTAGTGCCTTGCTAGGTATTCAGTAGGTGCTAAATTTTTATAGCCTATAGTGATGCTTTACACAGTTTCTGTTTCCTTGTACAGTTCATATTAATCAATAGGTACAGACTCCTTAAGGATAGTCCTTCTTTAATATCTGGTGAGCTGATCCTTAATTACAGTCATAAACCACTCTATTTCTATAAACAAATCTTATATAGAATGATGTAGTAGAGCCACAGAATTCATTAGAATTAATTCAGTAAAGGACAGAAGAAGAGGGGCAGCTAGATGGTGTAGTGGATAGAGCACCAGCCCTGGAGTCAGGAGGACCTAAGTTCAAATCGGGCCTCAGACTCATGATACTCACCAGCTGTGTGACCCTGGGCAAGTCACTTAACAAGTTGCCTGGCCAAAAATAAGTAAATAAAAACAAACAAACAAACAGAAGGACAGAAG